CCTGGTTCCCCCTAAAAATTTATTAAAACACCCCTGTAGAAAAGCTCTCAATTTAAACAATTTAAATAGTTTCTTGTTGGTAACCGCTGCATGCCACCTCTCGGGGTTCCACACCCCATCCTCGAGGTAGGCCCTAGAGATGTTATTGGGCCAGGCCTGCGCGAGGGGTGAGTCGCGCAAGGCCAGCAGGACCGTCTTACTTTCATATCTTAACAAATTTTCATTCAGCCTCCAAGTTCTTTTACTTCCTCCATCATTTAAGATCTCCATCAATACAGGACTATGATCTGATAAAGTCTTAGGAGAGATCTTCACTTTTTTAACCTTTGAGACCAAATCATTAGTAATCAGAATAAAATCAATTCTTGAATAAGATTTATGTCTGTCCGAAAAAAATGTAAAGTCACTTTCTCCCATGTTCCAATCTCGCCAGACATCTTTTAACTCAAAGTCCTCCTGTAATGCAAAAAAGCTTTTAGGTAGTTTAATTTGAGTTGAGATTTTAGAAGAAGTCTTCTTATCTTTCATTGGATCTATTACACCATTCCAATCTCCCATCATAATAACCGACTTGTAATCCAATTGGGCTATTTTTTGATGTAGAGAACGGTAAAATTGTTTCTGTAGATGACATTGATTAGGTGCATATAAACCAACTATGAGGCATTTCTTCCCATTCAACAAGAATTCAACAAGTATAAATCTTCCTTCTATATCATAATCTATTAACTTTGGCAATAACTCCTTCTTAACGTAAAGAACTATGCCAGCTTTTTTCCTTGGTGCAGGAGCGACAAAATGTAATCCCAATTTATAGTTAATCAAATACTTTTGGTCATTTGATGAGATATGCGTTTCTTGTAAACATATAATATCGTTTTTATGTTGTTTTAAGTAATGGAATGTTTTTTTCTTTTTTTGTGGTGAGTTCAGTCCATTAACATTCCAAGTCAAAAACTTAGCCATCTTTTGGTTTTTGAAATTTCTGAAGCATCCCATGTAGGTCTGCCGTAACAGATCTTTTTGGTCTAGCCCCTCCCACAGCTTCTGAGGTAGATGGATATGTTATAGGCACAGTTTCTTTTTGTTGTTCTCTCTCCTTTCGCCTATAAGCTGCACGTGTCATT